CCCTCGAATATACGTTAACGACGTGAAAATATCAACAATAATTAAAAACGCAAATGAAATGTGAATTGATGATTGCCGCTGTACATTAAGACAAGCCAGATGTGTCTGCTGCCGTTGAGAGTTTTATTATATTTTATTCGGCGATTAACTAACTCGATGTGCGAACGGCGCCGTTAATTACACGAAATTTAATATATGCAACTTATTATTTGTCTTTATATTTGTGAATTACTGACTATTTTCCCGCAACTTCGTCCGTGTAAATTATATGTGTATATAGCCTATGTCAGCCGCGTAGCTTAAAAAATATAACGTTCAGATTAAAGAATTTATAAAATCGGTCCAGTAGTCTTGGAGCTGATTCGATGCAAAGAAACAATCAAGGCATTACACTTTGTAATATTATTTGTATAAAATACTTCGACCAGCGGAGCTGACTGGATCAAGCTACTTTGCCCATGGAAATTATAGCACATGTTATCCGCATATGATGTAGCTGCCCCTAAGAAAAAGTGTTTTCGTTATCGGAGCAGTATTTACCGAAAATTAACCACAACAAACAAGCAAAGATAGAAATACTACACATTGCCACAGCCATTGCACAGTAGCGGAGCAATAAATTAAGAAAAGGTAAAGAAAATATTATAGCCTTATTTTATAAAAATAACATCGTCCAATGATCCAATCTAAACACATCGAGACAGTATGAGTAATACTGTTTAAATTTACCAACTACCAGTACTGAACTCAGTCTAACGAAATAACGATCCAACAACGGAAAATTATATCGCAAATTAGTTTAATACAAAAAGAAAAACACAAAGCAAATCAATCATAAAATACAGCGCTAACTGCCGAGTGGCGTTACGCATAAACGCCTTGTTACATTTCATTAAAAAAAAAAACATACAAATGAGACTTACTTGTGCACACATCATAAGTGCATTATAATTGCTTCGACTAGTTGCGTCGGACATTGCATAAAATAAATACTACACTAGCTGCCGTAACGACATAATTCCGACGCAATAAATGGAATAAATTGCTGTGATTATTTGTAGGACGCCCGGCCTACGGCGAAATGCAACCACCTTTTTTCTTACCACCTGTTCTTGATTACTTTTACTTTATTATATTTGATCATTTTTGCACTCAATTCTATATTGAATATTGAAAAATGCTTAAAACATCAACTTTGTCCCTGGCTCTCTGAGATGGGACTCGACACATGATTTTTCGCAATTCAGACAACTGCACTAACCACTGAACTACCCAGGACCTAACAGGACTGACGATTTTTTCGCCTCTACAGTGCGTATTTTCATCAATGCCGAAAGAAATATTTAATCTGTCGTTAAAAATTTGTTGTAACTATTTGACAAATGTTACTTTGTTTTTTTTTAAATAAAATATTATTTGTTTAAAAATCACGTATTCGTTCATCTTAGAACAGATAATCAAATACAAAGTACAAATATCGAGGGAGAATTTTGGAATTATTCTATTTCCTGTTATGTTCCTTACCTCTAAAACCTTTTTAATCTTATATGTTAACTATGTAGTATATTTATAAAATGCTTTCGAGATTAAGAAGATCAATTTAAATTCAAATCTATTTATTTATTATTATATAATGCTTACAATTTCCTTAAAAAATAACATTCGTATCCTCTACGTCCATAAATCGAATGATTCAAAACTGTCCCATGTTCTAAACGGTTCCCTACACCTACAAAAAATATTATAAAACCTAATTAAAACATGTTAAAAGAGAACCGTAGTAAAACGATTAAATATAGATATTTATATTAGACGTAAGAAAGAAAAAAAAACTATCAAATCTGAAGAATGACCTCTTTTCTATAATTTTTGTTCCTTTTTCCTGTTTCAAAAACTTTTGATGATGTGATTAAATTTCTTGATCTGTGGTATAGTAATGGCAAGAGATAAAGTGACTAACTAAAGTGCTTAAATATTTAACATCGCTCGTTAAGTATTGTAACTATTTAGGTCGATATTTGCCTACTAGCTCGACCTAGCTCGACCTAAATATTTTGACTTATTTCACTCGACGTTAGGTACATGAATAGACTAAAAATACTAGAGCAAAAGAAATAATGGTATTTCTACACGTGATTTCTAAAATTGTATACCGCCTTACTACGTTTTGCTATTTTATTCATTATTGTTTTTCAGATAAGCTGTGTTAAGACATTTAATTAATCATCGCAGCCATTCATCATTAGCAACCTGTATATTTAAAACCAGTAATTTCCATATTTTCATTAATTATCTAAACGTTCCTTACAATTAGCCTTGGATTGAATGTTTTTGTGTTTATTATCTTTTACTTAAATCTACAAGTAATAAGTATAATACTATTAAGTTCGTTAATATGCGAGGTTTATCGACTTTTTTTAGAAACCTAAGTTATAAAATAATTATTATATTTGATCAATTTTGCATTCAAAAAATCAAAAAATCGAATTCTATCTCGGAGTGCCAGGGACGAAGAAGAATAAAATAATTTCACTATGAAAACTGATTTAAACTTTTTTATACCAATAGTCTGAAATGTTGATCTAGTTTTGTCTCTAATTCTATTAAAATTTAAAGATTCGTGAAATAATCACTGCAATGTGCATACAGATATATGCTCCCCATAACCTTAAAAGCAACAAACGACTTCTTCAATAATGTTAATATAAAACTTTAAGTGAAACATTTGTGTGAAATTTTCATTCGAAGTCATTGGCACAAGAAATTACAAGGCTCAAGAATGTAGCAGTTATTTCTCTATAAATCGCGTAAGCACATAAGTTGGGACTCGATGATTAATTTGTCGGTTTCATGGAGTTTTTGTTCCACAATTAGGCGCGAGCAACACGCGTGCTGCCATCGCGTGGCCGATACATTGTACTAATATTAACGAGTCCCCCGCGCAAGTTCCGTTTTCGGTTATTTATTACTAATTAGCTGTTCTTTTTATTTATAAATTTTCAAAATATTTACGGAACATACAAGGCGATTGATATAGTTGCGCTGCTCGCATTATTGGCAGAAAACGAACCCCTTCCGCTGTCGTGTTAAGATTCAGTTTCCTATATCAGTTCCGTTGCGTTTTAAATCTAATATAACGAGCGGTATTGTGACGCGGTCGATGGCTATCAGCCCTTAGCTATGGGAAAGCCAATTAGGTGTATTTTTCCTAGAGAGCCGAGACCATCCGTCACATTGCCACGCCCGTTACGTTCCGTTTCGTTGCTTAGGGACCTCCACAAACTAATATTGAATTAATACTACCTACACCTCACTTGCACTTCTCTGTTAATAAAGTTCAAAATATTCAATACAAAAAGGAATAAAATTAAAGAAGATAACAACTTAAAGTTCTATAATATTAATTTTTAACTTTAAATAGTTTTGTATCTAGACCATATTTTGATAACCTACAGCGAAATATGAAAATAATTAGCTTCGTATAAAATAATACTTTGTTCACATCACTCTAAATCTATTACTAAAACGATAGTATCAATTCCGAACTTAAATACTCGTCTTGGTCGTGACTTGTTTACTTTCAAGCTTAGTTTTATTAAGAGCCATGGTTGTTTAAGAATTTGGTTTTATATAGGGTCTTGGTAGAATGGTCGCTCATTTGACATTTGCGTAGCACCTGCAGCGGGAGGTAAGTCTGCCGCAACATGTGCCACTAATTTGTTGGCAGCGCGATCATTACATGGCTGGAAGGCGCCCGAGGTGTCGCATACAGCGGCGATTTCACCAAGCATAATTCTATAAATTGCCACGCGCATAGGGAAGTAGCACATATGATTACGTGCTTTTCAAAAAGTACAATTCAGACGACAAATAGGTATTACTTTTTTGAAATGTGCTTATTATCAAATCACTCGATAATAAACGTCAAGTGTTTTATATAGCAGTCAACAAACTTGATCGCGAAATATAACTATAAAAGTCACCGATTGACCGACTGACTGATCTATCGACGCATAGCTCAAACTACTGGATGAATCGAGCTGAATTTTGACACACAGTTCAATTTACAACCACCTATAGCAATGATGTGTTTTCTAGTATATTTTTTAAAGTTAAGAAGAACAATATTGTAAGGTTTTATATTAGTAATAATATCACGAAAAACTAAATTTTACTATATTCTATTGTATAAACGAAACATACTACAATAGAAGACAAAACATTTCTCATTCGTAGAAATATTATAAACTCACGAGATAAATTAACAGACACTCTTATCTTCCTTCTAATTATCAACGTTATATTTCATTTTCTCTAAATATAAACGTATTCATTAATCATTTAAATATTACATTAATTAAATCTTACCTGATGCGGATGCATATATGTACATAGTAATCATTAGAGGTATCTTCATTGCATTGCTAAGGTGGTTAGTATGTAATTAAATAGTGGTGGATAATTCATTCTTCTGGATTTACAAAAATATATATCTAAATCGGATATTGACGACCTCCGTGGTCGAGTAAATCGTATCGTTTTCAAGGTGTTATCGTATCCGAAGTCTGTTAGACTCCCGGCCGATTCGATGTAGGAAATGTACCTTTCTATACATCTCTTATCTAGATATCATCGTACCTTCATTGTTCCATGGTTTTAGAACACAAGGACGTTATTAGTTATTTCTGAATCTAATAAATGTATATGAATTTGTCTGATTTTATTAGTCATAATGTCACAAATAATTGTCAAAAATGTATATTTTAGATGTAGAGTTGTCACAATAGTAAATCTAATATACGGACGGAGAATGTGGAGCTGTGCCGGTCACGGAGCTCGTTAGTGCCAATGATCCCCGGGGCGACCCGTAAATCAACTGTTTTACGTCAACACTTTATAGCTCATTCAGGCTTCTCGGCCGCTTTATCACCTTGTTCCTGGCAATTCAACATCGACGTTCTCCATACACTAATACATCACGAGCTAAATTTACGAGAACACTATGATATGACAACAGTAATAGTTCCGTTGGATGTCAAATCATTAATCATACGTACAGGTGTAAAGGTGATTTGTGGAGACATTAAATCTAGTACCTGGCCATTTTTGTCCATCTCGTTGTTAGTGAGCTTGACTTTTTCGAAGGAGACGACTTGTTTGCGTAACTGGTCCCCGCTGAATGGTGAGTCAGGGTGTGGGTAGAGACGCGCAGGTGCAGGAGGGTCTGCTTTGCCGGCCACCAGCCATGAGGAGCGGTGATACGCGTACCGGTACCGCTTGCCGTCCACCGGCACAACGTCCAGCAGGACGGCATATCGCGCATCCGTACGACAACCGGCAAACGATACCCGCACCGTCGGAAACATACGCCTGCAACCAAATATTAAATTATAAAACTGTCATCTATAAAATAAAACACCATATAGCAACCGCTATTTAACCTTTGATTGATTTACTATTTAATTATTTGTTGCATAAAGTATGGTGTACAAAAGATGTCAGGGATAATGTAAGTATCACATATTTTACTTTTGAGCGACATGTAATAATTTGAATAAGCTACTTATATTGTACTATTTATCCACATTTCTACCAATTTAGACGGTTCCATTATGTATATTCTGATGTACCACGTATTGAATAAATATGTTAGCTAACCGTGTCCTCAATTGTAGTTTAATTAGTATACCTATATCAAACACGTTAACATTTTAGTATTCCTTAAATATTTTGTTATTACATGGTTTATTATTTTATTACTAATTGTGTGTCCTTATAAATAGCAAATGTGATTAATTAGCAAATCTTTGTGACAAATTTCATTTAAATTGAAAAAAGTAAATTACTCGTAAATGCAGCAATCACCAAAGATATTTAACGTAATGAAGCCGACCGTCACCTAAAAAATGAACTTAAAAATACGACCATTAACAAGCTTTATGATAAGTTGACAAGCTTAGAAAAATTTATGCTCACAATAAAGATTAAAATACACCAGCTCAGGTGAATTTCAAATTTTATTGCGACAAATTATAACGACATAAAAAGTAAAACTTTCAACTATAAATTTTCAACTGAGGTAAAGAAAAGGGACGCTCGCTAATGACCGAACTCATAAGAACGGACCGAAAACTAAATTAGACATGAGCCAAAAGGTTATAATCCCCAAAAGTGTTTTACGAGACCAAAACACATGCTCGCAATAAAAAAAGATGATTAATGCATCTTCAAAAAAACCGCCAGAGATCCGGCCACGGACGGTGACTTGTATAATTACAGGGCAAAACGCGAACTAGGAAATCAAACAAATATGATGTATTCGATTTTAATGCACCCTTAAATGGGCTGAAGCGCTTCCTGCCGGCCGGGGGCGATAACATCTCACCTCCAGTTTATTTACGATGTGGTCTTTCTTAATATATATATATATATATATATATTTTTTTTATATTTTGGAATCTTTAAACGGCACTTTTATAATTTCGGGGTCCCGAACAAGTAGTCGTTGGCCTGTCAGTATAGATAACCGTCTACTAACAATTTATCCGCTATCCTTAACACGATTAGACATCGACGCGGTACAGTAGTTTCAATAAGCTTTCATTATCTTTCGAATCGAAATGAACAAAACAACTTTAAGATCTGTGGTGCCTATTATTAATATTATTGAAATTCTGAACGTCTCGTAATAAAATCTGGGAGTGAAAGAAAGAATTATTAGCGGTCATAAAACATGGACACAGTGTCAACCGTTCTATAAGAAAAGTATAATAATAATAAATAGACGAAACCTATAAAACTCGGAGGGCGAGCGCGGGCGCAGCACGAGCGACGATAAAGCAAAGGTATTGACGGTCTCTAGAGAGTTAAGCACTAGTCATAAATAAATCTTATTATGGTATATTTTGAGCGGTCGATGGCACCGTATCGGTCGCGCGGGATCGCTAGCGCTCGTCTCTTCGACAATAAGTCGCTGTCAGATGCGTTTATGAGTGTGTCGTTAGGGACGCGGCCGCCACCCAGCGCGGGCGCGTAATGAACTGCATCCATCACGGATAACAATCGATCGCGGATTCCACGGGTACCTTGCCCCGTTCTAATTGAGCTTGGACGGCGTCGTACCACCTTCGATTTATAAATTAAAACGGTAAACGTTACACCGTAAGATTACTTTACAATATCTACTCGTGTAAATGCCAATTAGTATTCTAAGTTACTGAATACTAGCAGTTATAGTTAGCCTATGTTGTCCCTTAATCTATTTTGTAGATTCCCGTGGATGAATTCTTAAAATAGGACCAGTTTTTTCAGAGCAAGTCAATAATCAAATAATTCCCCTTTATAATATTTCGTAGTATAGATTCTTTTTCATATTTTGTTACAAAAAATTATTGTACGTTATATATATAATTTTTACTAATATAAATATTTTATTTTAAATAACTTAAAAATATATGATTGATATTATTGTGACATCGCGATGTCAATTAAAATATATCTAAAACCACATAATTATTTATATTATTTTTTTTATTATTTATTTCAATAATCTTAATCTTACACACGATACTTCAATGACATATTTTTCGTGGAGCCGTTGAAAGGCATTCGACTGGATACGTATCTTATAAGAATTATTGATAGCATTAATTTCGCATGCAATTAACTGGAACTTTGCGGTAACAAAGCTAACAATTCGATGTTAACGCGCCGTTTCACGAGTAATAAAGTCGGCAGAGCGACGGCGGTCCACATTTGCATAATTCATTAATAAATGTCCACTGGCGATGCCCTCAGATAAGCTTAACAAACACCAATTGGAAAACTATACGGAACGCAATCTCGACTTTTAATGACATGGATTTAAGGTACATAATCGGACGAATAAATGAATCACAAAAACTGCGAACTTACGAAAGCTCGCTACTGTAAATTGGGGAATTCAACGCGTGACCCATTTACAACAGCTAAAACAATTTAACACTGTAAGTTGTATTATGAACTGAACATAGGTATATTATCAGATTTCCTTAGCAAGAGTACCGAATCAAATTTATATCGAGAATGAATGTAGTGATGTCTGAATAACGCCACTTATTACCTCCGAGAATAAAACTAAGTTGAAAGCTGACTCGATAGTCAATTATTTGTAATTTTGAGAGCTTTTATTACGCTTAGGTACAGTCAACAGCTCTCAGATAAATACAAGTAGAATAAACAAAATTTTTCACATCACTTACCAAGCTTTAATTTATTGATAGTTAGAGAAACTATTGTTAATAACTATGTAATATCATTCGTACCATATTCTTGCAAATAAACAATAAATTATACTAATATTATTGTTATTCAAGTTTAATTACTATAATTTAACCTTTTGTAGTGACCTTATATGATGCATGTGTACATCGTTATTGATACAAAGGCAAAATAGTTGTTTTATTGAGAAAATTGCCATTCTACAAAACTAAATATACCGTGTGATCACTAAGTATATCATACATTCATTATATAAACCTTGCGGTGAGAAACCGCGATGCGACAGAACGCAGGAAAAAGGGCTAATTTCGATGAGGTAACTGCACCAATTATGGTAACCGCTTCCGGGGAGAGGCGCGAAATTACACCACATTGGTACATACGACTACCCTGTTTACTTTGCCTTTTGTAGAAAAATATTTTAATTATAAATTATTGTTGAGGTTTTAAAAAGGAATAACTTGTGCTTTTTCTTTTTATACAATGACGAGGAGCATAAAAGTCAGGTAATAAGATACTATCGCCTAATAAAGCCAATTTCCGTTCCCAATTACAGTTCTTACATCCCAATTACAGTTCTGCAGCAAATGATAAGTACGGAAGGAAAAATTGTTTTTTATATATTTATCAGTTTGTGTTTTTAGCAGTCCAGCCTTTCAAAAACAGTGGCCTTGTTAGGCGCAAACACATCATCATACACAACCATATACAAATTAAAAAACTCACATAGAAAGGATTAAATTACGTTACCGACAATAAAAAAATCTTAACATGGTAAATTTTCTAACTTATGAAACGTCGTCATATAATTAGTCGACATAAAAACAATCCGCTTTTTATTGGAAATCATTAATATGTAATGACAATTACATGCGATTAATTCAGTCAATAAAAATGACTTTCCGTAATGCGTTAATTGTTAGAATATGACCTTTAGTTAATTACTAAGTAAACACAAAAACTAAATACTTCAATCCAGTTATAATAATAATTAACTTTTATTAATCGTCGCTGTCTCGTTTACCAGTACACATCGCAATCGGTTTGCGTGCACATTGAAATGCAAGGTTATCATATCGTTGCTTGTCTTAATTGACTTATATTAATATTATATCTACATTTTTTTATTTTATTATTCAGATAATGAAACTACCGGGTTTCTTTTTTGACAAGCAGCTTCTATTTATTTATATTTTTTCCTCTCAAAAATTAAATGTCGCTTCAAAAATTATACAACATTTATCCTGATTTTTTAAATTTTTGTTACAATTTAGCGTCCACAATCTGTGTAACGTTTTCACCTGTAATAGTCAGATGTTTCATTGTATTATGACCTACATTACGTCACAAAAAATCCTTTTCACTCACCTTTTCACTCATATAATGATGAATAGAAAAGGTAATTTTTTTAAGAAAGTGGAGAAATAAAATTTTTTTAACCTCGGCCCAACTTCAAGTTTATTGACAAATACACCGCTTTTTAGATGAGTATTATATTATATTTTTTTAAAGAGTATTATATTTTTTTTTTAAATTAAGGTCGGTTATTTATTGAAAAAGTTTTTATTTCATTATTTTTAGTGATACTTATATGTACTTTATACAAATAGTTTGTATAGGTATTACTAAAATATCTGTATAGAAGAAATTATATTTACAACGAAAGGCCTGGAATATTTATTTATTTGCAAGATGTTATCATGAAGAAATTTAAATGGGACCACCTCAGCCCATTAAACTGTGAATAAAAAAGAATTTTGAAAATCGTTTCGTAATTGGTGAAGTAATCGCACGCAAAAAAAAACGTACAGTCGAATTGAGAACCTCCTCCTATTTGAAGTCGTTTAAAAACCTTAAAAAAAAACTATCGCTTGTTCTGGCCTTTTCTTTAAACCTATAATTTTCACATAACCTCCTTCATGAATATTAAAGAAACAATCAATTTATTTTAATACTATTAATGTATTAGTCAGAAACTCTTGCATTTGCGAGTTGTACTCAAACTTTTCCCATATTATCTTAACCACAAAAGTTCAATTCAATTGCTTTCAATTGCTCTTTTCAGATCAATAGTTCTATAAAATACTTCATTATTAATTATTAACTCTGTTGAAAAACTGATATCACTTTATATTGTTTCACTTATTTTAATAAAAAGTGATAAAGTCATCGGCTGACACCTACGCACCGAAATTTGTTTACTCAAACAAATATTACTCATCGCCGATCGGATAACTACCTGCTTTTATTGAAGCTTATGATTGATTGGTGATGTTAACATAAAATATGTGTTGAAATAAACCTGTTAATTATAAAAACAGATTTTTGGTCGAAACATTTCAATTATTGATATGGTATCTTTTCTGTTTTGCATAAAGGTAATTATTATTTATATTATTCCAAACTGAATTTATAATTTCAAAAAATAATCAACATTTGTGTATTAGGTAGGGGAAAAAGTCTTTTCACATGTAGTATTTATAAATTTGTAATAAAATCTTTCTGGCTATACCATTTGCATCAGGCTGGCTTTAAATTTTAAATAAGATTACTCTGAATTCAATCTTTTTTTGTCCTAAAATTGACTTTCCTCTATTTTCTTGTTGTCAAAATTAGTGAACCTAATGAAGAGATTCGATACACTTTAAAAGTTTATTATAACAAAAGCTGAAAAAATGTTTAGCGACGTTTATGTACCTAGAGCAGTTTTCCGTTTACCTAGTGCACTCAGAAAAAAATGAAAGTTTGAGTGGGAGGTGTATGCATCCACCGTATAGTCCTGACGCTGCACCTTCAGATTTTCACCAGTTTCGGTCTCTTTAGAATTGTTTAGGCAGTGACAGTTTGACATCATGTGAGGACTATCAAAACTATTTGTCGCTGTTTTTTGATCAGAAACTTTATGTCCCTACCTACAAGATGGCAAAAAATTATGGAACAAAATAGTTAATAATAAATATAAATAAACTATATTTAAAAAAGTAAGTTCTGATTTTTTATATAAATTGCAAGGAAACTTCCCTAACCAAGTCAATTCAACATTTAAAAATTGGTTACTTATGTACTTCGTGGTTTTTTCAAGAAATGCTGTAAAGTCAAAAGACTTACATATTTATATTAAGAAATTGTTAGGGGTATTTGTTTATAAATTCGCTTTTTCTACTGTGACAGAACCATTGGAAATTTAATGTTTTTATCCTGAATTTTAATATCGATGCTAGAACGCAAGCGCATAGTAACCCGTAAAATAAAAAAAAGAACGTACACGGTAATAAAATAGTAACGATGAGTCAATTAATACGGAAATAAGATATTTTTCGAAAAACTAAAAAGTTCTTTCTGCGCCCGTGCCATTATTGAAATACATTAATGAAAATACATTCGATTGAATATCTAATAAAAAAACATTACCAATGCTTTATTATAGTATTATTGCCAATTCAATTGTAGCCAGTTCAGGCCAAGTCGGATATCTCACGCCATTTGTAATTTGAAATTGTACAAGACGTCGGTCGTTTATAAATGTCACTGGCAATCAGCGCTACTATTAATATTATGTCAGCCATGGAATGAGCATTTGTGTGAAATCAGATAGGCGACCTTTATCACCTATAGTAGCCTTCTATTCGATCCTTTCATACTGTTTTAAAGGTCTTTACAAGTAGTGACTAGTTTAACTTAGATACAAGATAAAACATTGATATAAGCAAAAGAGATAATAAATAGTTCTTCTTGAAAACACCGTCTCAGGTTCCAGGCCGGACAAATACCTGAAAGACTTTTAAGTTAAA